GCTACTGGGACATCATGTTTAGAAAATAAACATCTCAGTTTCTCCGAAACACCCGCAACATACATTTGGGTCTGGGTTTGGGGTCTTCATTTTCACCTGAAGGTCTGATAGGAACTGTGCAGCTTCCTTCAGAGATGGAAGTCTCTSTCTGTAGGACCACTATAAGCTGCACAGAGGTGGGCTTCTTGGCAAAGTGAAAGACCTTGCTTAAAGAAAAAACTTTTTGCTAAGAGGCATATCAGACTCTCCAATGTGGTTGGGAGAAACTGAGGTTTTAGGCCATCACCATAAATAAGGGCAAACCTAAGCTGCCTCATGTTGGTGTGAACACCATTCCCACAGTAAGGCACGGTGGTGGCAGCATCATGCTGCAGGGATGTTTTTCATCAGCAGGAACTGGGAAACTGATCAGAGCTGAAGGGAAGATTAATGGTGCAAAATATAAATATATTTTTAAGAGAAACATGCGACTGGGACAGAGGTTCACCTTCCAGGTCATTGACTCTAAACCCACCACTGAAGCAACCCTCTTCTTCGCTTTGTTTGACATAAAAACATTTTGCATCTTTGAAGCAGTCGTTATGTTGCATGAACTGGCACATACAAGACTCATAAAATAGATTTTAAATCCCATTTTACAAAACACAAAGCGAACGTGTGCAGTGTTAATGATAGAGAACAGTCTTCAGATGTGTGTTACACACAGAATCAAAGTGATGACACGTGTTTTCCTGCTGGCAGAGGGTTAACCACAGAATCGGGGGGAGAGGGAGGTGCATTAATCTGRGGACCACTGTGACATTGTCTGACAGAAACCCAGGGAGTGAACGTAGGAAGCGTTTTCTTCTAATACGGAAAACTGATAATGTGGAAATCCTGTTTTATTCCACGTGTAAGGTCACACTCACCATGAAAGTGTGCGCAGGGAGGAAGCTTGATGTATGAGGAAGTCTGTTTCCCCAAACTCAGCTTTATCTTTCACATGGAAACTCAAACTTTTAGGATCATGGTAACAGAGAAAAACCTTTATTGTCCAAACAGTTGATAATTTACATGATTGCATTTTTATTTACAGATAAGCGACATAATGTTTTGATGAATCAAACCAGTGTAGCGTTATTTCTATTTAATGAATGACAAACTCTATTTTGGATAAATAACATATTCTTAAGAAAATGTACACAAATTTGAAAAAAGAAAATAGGATATGGAATCACAGCAGAAATCAGAAAGTGGGCACACTGACAAACTAAGCTTCAGAACTTTACGCTGTCCCAAAGGATCCTTACAGTGCCAGAGTGTCTTTTATCAGCCTCCTCATGGTGGTGCTTACAGATGTGCCCAGTGAGTCAGTGATCTGGTAGGTGATCTTGTAAAGGTAGGGCTGGACATCTTTAAGACTGGTGTCAAAAACATTGTCCACTTCAGACTGGGTGGGCATCTTTGGCAGGTATTCGTGACGGTTTATGACCTCGACAACGTTGATCACCTTCTCGCCGAGCTTCTCTCCGACTTTCTCCCTGCAGATCTGTCTCTCCTGCTCATTGGCGAGGTTGACAACATTGACTTTGATGCTCCACACCTCCCAGGGGATGCACTCGTCAGAGAAGGGCCAGCGAGACTTCTTCTTTTGGTAGAACTCCAGGGAGATCTGCCCCATGCCGTCACTGCCCGAGTTGCTCAAAGCATCCTGTAAACCAAAGCAGAGACATGTGCTCAGGCAGAACGAGAAGAAATTCTGTAAAAATAAATAGAAGGGTGCCGATGTAGCTGCTGCCCAACATTCAAACAGAACTTTTTAATAATGCCTACATTTTGAGGTATAAAACTGCATCAGAAGAGAAAAAGAGACCCAAGATTAAAAGAAATATTTAAGCTGCAGCAAGTGGCTCATTATGGTCACCACACACCTGCCAAGTTAATAAGGAGACAGAAATGCAAACTGGAAAATAAGCCTCAAACTAAGAGTCACTGCACAAAAACTATAAACCAGATCTTCAAAACGTGCTCCATTTTGTATTAAAAGAGGTATGGGTGAAAAGAGTGTGTTTATACAGTATACTATAAAGCAGTGGTTCCCAAATTTCTCAGCCTTTGACCCTCAAAATTTCAGCAGCAGAGACCTGAGCCCCCATCTGTTTTTGCATCGTAAACATTGTTTTCACATAAAAAAATAAGAGCAGGTAACAATATTCATTATGCTATTTTTGTCCATTTTAAGTATGCTAACCTTACTCTTTTGTAACAACAAAGGCAAAAAAATGTTGTTAGTTGTTATTTCCTAATATTATTGATTCAAAAACTCTTTTCCCAGTGTTGCCAGATTGGGCTGCTTTTCAACTTGTTGGGCTGGAAAAAACAGCTTCGGGCTGGTTGTTAAAATTTGGGCAGCTTTTTACCACATTTGGCAGGTTTTTAGAAAGTATTCATAAGGAAATAAATCAAAATTTCAAGTGTCACTARGAAATGGTATTGGTTAAAGTGTATCTTTAGTGTGTTAAAGTGTATCTCAACTGTAAATGCACCAAATAGAGAGGAGACCGGTTTTCTGAGATTCTGAGGACCTATCCCCTCCTTCTGCAAAACAATCAGAGGGCTGTTAGTTTACTTTTGTTATGCATATTGCTTGCAGCGAACACCCTTACTCACCCTTATCTGTTTCTTTCATTCTAACGATGGGTGTCACTCTGTAAAACACTATCTTTTCAGTGCTGCAAACGTAATGATTCAATGCAGATGTGTGCTAAAGGTGTATTCTTTATTAGTATAACATACACACAGGTGTATATATGTATACAACAGTAATCTAAACTCTTTTTGATACTAGACACAGTTTTATTTATATATAGTTCTATAGATCTGATTTGGGCTGGTGTTTTTGTGTGTGTGTGTGTGTGTGTGTTTTTGTGTGTGTGTGTGTGTGTTTTTGTGTGTGTGTGT